CATTCCTCCACCCCTCGGGACTATAGCATTCCTCCACCCCTCGGGACCACCATTCCTCCACCCTTCGAAACCACAACTCGTTGCTTCGCACCTTTCTTTTCACATCAATCAAATCGAAGGCTAAGAAATATAAAGGTAATGTATTGGACTGCAAATCCACGAACGATGGTTCGAATCCGTCCTTAGCCTCCAGTCCTCCACCCTTCGCGACAACTGTTCCTGAGTCCTTCGCGACAACCAGCCCTTCGCACCAATCATTCCACCTCAGCACTTAACACAAGGCGTGCTATAGTTTCTGCAACCCCGATGAATTGTTAACACAAACTATGCTCTTTCCTCAGGAACACTCGTTTCTTTCCAGTCCTCCGTGCATAAGAGTCAACCTGCGCAGTGATTGCAATGCGCCTTCGCGGCGTACGCTTCCCACTCTCACTGCATGAAGAGAACACTCCCTAGCTCCATTCTCCTCCCATATTTTTTTCCCGTCCTCGCCCGCACTATGTTCCAAACCGCCTGCAAAAGCTGCCACCAAATTCCGATACTGGGCATGACCATACTCAACGTGCTTAGCCGACATCAGGGAAGTTTGTACGAGGAAGGAGAACACGTCACATTATCCAATTCATCAGGTAAGGACAGACGAGAACTTTCAGACGACATATTAGGTTAAAGTGTTTACTAGCGACGATTCGCTACAAGAACGGCGGTTATCGATAGAAAAAGCAGGAGGAGCCAATTGTAGACAGAGTTCACATTACTCCGCTTGCGACCTACCTAAGCATCTTGTTCTCCTCTTTGCTAACCCTTATTATACCCGTTCTACTACGTTCCAACCTAATCCCTCCATTCGCCGCCGTCATATATTTCCCTCCTCGAGTCTCTTCCCTCAAGATCGTCTCAATCCCATAGCACTGCAAATCTACTCCAACGCTTCCTTTATTACCCCTTCCTCTACGCGTCCATTGCACCCCTATCTCGCCTCTGTTCCGACACTATGCCTTTACACCTTTCTTCATTCTCCTCCTCCATATCTCCGTGACTCTTCTCCCATGTCTCTCTCCTCTCACCCTTCAACCTTTTTACCTTCGGCGTCCCGCCTCTCTTCCTTGCCCTCTCTTCTCCTACAACCGCTATCCTTTCATCCACGTGTTAGGCGCATCTTCCCGCTCTCCTCTCCTACTCTCTCTCTCTTTCCCCCACCCGCCCCTATTGACGACTCTTCGGTCTCTCTTCTTCTCTAGACTTTTCCATCCTCCCTCTCCCTTCGCTTCCCTGAGCTTTACGTACTGCTTCCGTCATCATCCTCGTCCGCCAAACAATCTTCTCGTCCCTCTATTCTCCCCTTCGCTCCCATTCAACTTGGCCGCTATTTCACCTCTCCAGTCTCCCCAGTCTGCGCTTCTCTCTTCTGCCTCTTAGACAAGGACAACCGAAAACACGCCAGTAGCTACTCAGGAAGAAGGAACGAGTGAACACACGCAACATGAGAGAAAAGAGAAGACAAGAAGGATCATGGAGAAGAGCACTCACACCGCAGGTATGTCCGCGCGGGAAATGGAAGCCTCTCTTTCGGACAAGTTAGTTAACAGGGAGAGAAAGAGAGAGACCCGAAGACGAAGACAATTGGCCGGAGCTCACCTCTGCTGGGCGTGAGTACACCGGCGACTTCGCGGCGTATTCCTCCCCAACGCTACGCCGGCAGCCAAAGAGACCAACTTAGAGACAATGGAGAGGAAGTAGTCGTGGAGAAGGAACTCTCTTGAAGCCAGTCGCCGCAAAATGGAAGGGCAAAAGGGCTGAAGTCGGGCCCAATCGAGCCCACCCAGCGCAGGGGTCAGTTGTCGGATTGAGACTGAGGGGTCCTGCTCTGAAGGTCAGGCTACCCATGGTGGAAATTGATGCGGTACCGTCCCATTCGTTGGGGCGCCCCGACCCTACGCGCAGGGAAGGAGCCGTAGCCCCCATGCCCTGGTACCCGTAGAAATTCGCCTCCCGCAACAGACGTCGGATTTCCAGGTCCGGGCAAAAGACAGAACCTACCAATTCCTATTGTCCCTCAAAGATGCAGTATTGCCCGATATGCCCCTCAAAGACGCAATATTGTCCCATATGGCCCTCACAGACGCGGTATTGCCCGATATGCCCTTCAGAGATGTGGGTGCCAGGGTATGCTCTCGAAACTCGTTACCTTCGGGCCACGCCCCTGTCACAGGGCTGTCGTGACTGTCGTGACTGCAATTTGTTGTCACTGCAAATTCCATTTGCAAAGTTCCCCAATCCCAGCCAGAGGGGCAACCTTATCGCTTGCCACAACCATTCGGGCAGCAAATTTGACGCAATTTCCCTTCAGTGTTCTTCATACTCCACGTACTCTTCCTCCTTTGACTGTGAGGTTTGCTTGCCCCTATTCCCTTGCTCCCCCTCCTTCATTGTTGTTTGTTCTTTTACAGTGATGAAAAGGAAGGGCACAGTGGAGGAAAAGCCTAGGAGGAGGAAGAGGAAGCATATCATTCGGACTATTACCTTCTTCCCCTTAATACAACGTCCATTCATTCTAGTTGTACTTAGGGTATATTTCAGTCTAAATATAACTATGATGCGATCATTATAGTTGTATTTAGGGTATCTTTCAGTCTAAATACAGCTATGATGCGGTCGTTATAGTTGTATTCAGGGCATCTTTCAGTCTACATACATGATCTTGTATTCGGGGGAAGAAGGTAGGAGGAGGGGGTTGTTTGCTCCATGAAAAAAAGTACTTCCGGAAATGGCGGCTTCAAGCAGCCAGCCAGTGTTGCAGTGCAGTGATGTTTCACCTTGAATGGATTTACTACGGCGCCCCATGCCCGTTTATCCCAACAGCAGGCATGAGGTCGCGATTTTCGGAAGTACTGGTGGTTTAAACCACCAGACACACGAGTCTAAGTTTACGAAGCTACCTTCCAAGGCTCGCAAGCCTACAACTGCACCTTTCCAAAGTGACATGTTACTTTCAATACCGACCCAAACATAAATTAAAATACTCTTACCGTTTATGACAGTAAGATCACTACTTAGGTTCATGTGAGCTGATGGTTTATGACTTTTTACCCCATCAGGGCGACGATTTCACTTATGCCCCTATATGATTTTTGTCACGTTGGTTGGTTGGTTGGTATCATCACATCCCTTCACCTTTCTAGCTTGGTAATGATGAACGACAATAATTATCTTTGTTTCCCAAAAGGAAGTTGAAGAAATAACTATTACAACCAAATGAAAGACTTTTATCATATTCCAATGAATGAGGGTTTCGGTACTGTATTTGGCACAGGGTTCAATCATTTCATTTTTTTGTTGTTTCTATCACATGAGTTTTAACTTCGATAGTTTGCACCAATATTAGGTTAGTTGTAGCTAGCAAGTCTAGTCAGAGACCGATTATACTTGACCCCATTTGTTTATTTTGTTGGTTGGATGGGTATCTTATTAGTTTGTCGACAGTTAGTTTTCTACCCATATGTTGGGTGGATACGTTTTTAGATATATGACCCTTCGTATATCGATTATATGCATTTATTTTATTAAATATATTGTTTCCAACATCATATCCAATATCAAACAATAAATTTTCATTGGTTTTGTTCAGTTTATCAAGGTAGATCAACGAATATTTATTATATGCATACTTCAATGTTAGTTATAACTTTATTTTACACCTGCACTCACATTTTATTGTACTATAGGTTCAATGCATACATGTTCATGACTTTCATAGCTTCCGCTTAATTGCATGTTTTCTTACTACATTAGTATTGGAACGGTTCGGTCATTGCCATCAGTTTTTGTCGTTGCACTAAGTAATTTTGAATGGGTTATGATTTATTGTTCGTTCGTAACGTTTGAATATCTTAACGTCATTATCTAGGTTTGTATTGATCAATCGATAGTCATCTTAGTGTTTTTTGTTTTCCATTTTACACTATTTAAAGTTATGTTTTTGATGGTTTGGTATTTATGGTGTATTATGTTTCTATTCACTGCCAAGTTTGTAGCCTAACTGGTTTCGTAGCCCACAACGTAGCTTGGAGGTCAACTTACAGTCAAGTTTGCAGTCAACTTCAAACTGCAGTCAAAATAATAACCACACTAATAACTAAGTTCGTAGCTAAGTTCATATTTTAGCTTTAGCTAAACATATATCAACCTTTACCAACCCTCAACCTGCCTTAAAAGATCTCCCCAGACCCTCTATATAAATACTAACTCCACTCCTCTTATTTTATTATGCCCTCCTCCTCTCATTTTTTATCTCCCTCTACTCTAGTTATGATATCCTTACCACATCATACAAGTAATTTCACTCGATATTCTATGTATTTCGATCCAATATCACAAAGCTTGTTCGTTTTCTTTCCTCATTCTTTTATTTAAATCCTCATCTCTCATATTATACCAGGTAACATAAGAAAACTCTTTAATATTTTATCATTTTTTTTCCTTCATTATTTATTTTTCTTCTCCCTTTATGATAACCATTAACTATTTACTTGATTTTTTTCATTTTTGTTTCTCTTTTATCCAACACTTTTAAAATTACAGTCATTAAGAAGAGGTAGTTAAGTATGGATGTGGTCAACTTTTTACATTTTGATGTGCATCGCTCACGATTAGGTAGTATAGACCCCATGAGTTGGGGATTCCGGTAATCCGTATAAAAAACGTTTCTGACTTATCATGACCCCTTAATAAGAAACCAAGTAAGAGAAAACATTGCATAGACTTGGAGGGTTGAGAAACAATGAGAACAACAGAGGTAGGAAGGGGGGAGCGGAGGGGTGGGGGGAAAAATAGCTTTATGGGGGAAAGGGGCAATGGATCTGGGGAGGGCGGTGGGGTGAGGGAGAGAGTCAGAGAAAGGGGGAGTTGCAGAATAATCGGGTGAAGTGTTCGCAAGGGAGTTATCGAGCCGAGGAGACAAAGGAAAAGTTGCGAGGACAAAGGATATAGAGTTAGGGGGAAGGAGTTTTTCTTCTTTGGGAGGTGGTGAACTTGCAGGGAGGTGATGTAACGGTCACCTAGTCCTGCCAAAGTGGAGGGGGTGACAAGATGTGGATACGGCTCCTGACACCCTCCCCACCGCCAACTCCGTTCTCTGAGTTCGTCACCTTCCGATGCTTGTTGGACTCGATACCTACCTATGCCTCTTTGTTGCTCGAGCTTGTTGTGTTTTATGGAATACATACAATGTTTCCAACCCGTACATAGGGAGGTACCCGAGCCGACCTCCGTACGAACAGGCATTCAGGGTCCCGTTCGGGGTCCGAACCTGAAGGGGTTCGGGCCCCGCTATAAATTATCTCAACGTCCATATATATATATATATATATATGTAGAGTTTTCCATCTGGTGTGGGTGAGTGATAGTCTACCTTGATTTTGGTTAAGGGAGATTATCATTTACAGTGTAATCAGTGAGGGGATTCTGCAGACTGTTGAGGGTTCAGCCTCCTGATGAGTCGGTGAAACTCCGACGAAACAGTTTGTCACAGCCCCTCGTTTGTTGTCCTCTTCTCTCTCTCTGCCTACGGTTNCCCCCCCCTTTCGTCGCCCTCAGTTATAGTAGTACGTGCCATATGCATCGATGACCTCTTTTGTTCAAACTCATGCCCTCTTCTTTTATCTCTACTTCCTATAAATAAATGAGAGTGAGGAAAAGACAATTCGCAATAAATTTCCATAAGGTTTCTATGCCGAATCAATGTGTAACCTGCTCAACTAGTACCTTTTTTGCTTCTATGAGATGAACAATGTTTCACTACAACATTTATCAAGAGCGAGGACCCTCCGTTAATGTTGTTGAAAACCTCTCAAACATTGAGGTCAACAATGGGATAAGCATGTATACTGCTAATAACCTAGCATGTCTGATTGCCCATAGTATGAAACATTTAGGTTTCACAAAATTGGTCACTCTTGTAAATCCATAAATAATAGTACAAATGGGTAATAAAATCCTACCTAAAAAACACCTAAAATGAAATATTTTAATCCAGCCTCTATAGAAAATTCAGAATTTCATTTTGATGTTGCATTAATATAAAATCTTAAACTTAGATGTTCGATGGCTAAATACATGACAATCAAATCGTAAGATTAGATAATTAAAACTTTATTACAAGTAGAGAGTAAAATGAACATCATAGCTTCAAAAAATTCAAAGTTTTTTGTTTGAAATAATCGTAATACATCAAAATGGTTCGTCAGTCAGGACGTGTCGTAAGTTGGTTGTTCCTCTAATAAATTGATTTCAAATGCGGTGTATTGATCTACCAACCGCATCGGTCATATTATCTTTTTTCGCCTGGGTGGCTCGACTGTGTAAAGAACTAGAAAGGTCACAGTAAAAAAAATAAAATAAAAAATATGATAAAAACTATGTTATGCTAGGCTACCAGAGTGGTCCCGGATCACATAGCTGACTAGGCTAAAAATATACAAATTAAATAAAAATTAAAAAATAGTTTTAAATTTTATTTTTTATTATAAATTTGATGAAGAATTTCGATATGACCCTGAGACAAAAGTTGTTCAGTTGATTTTTCTGCATAACATAGTGTTTTTCGAATTTGTTGGATGTTTTTTTTTTATAATCTTTTTTTTTTTCGGGATCTTCCACCTGGTCTTTTCACGGTCTGGCCACCTGGGACCCGGGCGGCCTGCCTAGCAGCCTATATGTTATGCAAAAAAATAAGTTGAACAAAATCTACCTCAGAGTTACATTAAAATTCTTTGATATAATTTATTTTATTTTATTTTATTTATTTATTTTTTTGACCCCAATTGAGGGTTAGGTGAAAAACTCTTTAAATGGACAATCCCAAACCTTGATTATTGTACCATCTGCTCTCATGTTTGAATTCATATGTCA